GAAACCACACGATACCCGATTCTGAATTGCGCACACATGTAAATGAGTGGAAGGCTACTGTAATTAGTCTTTAAGCGAGGCTGCAGGTCGCACCAGAATTTGAGGATAGCGCAGCTGTTTTATACGGTCAGCTGCGATGTCCACGCCTGCGGGCCCCACAGCACTCTCAGCTTCACTGGATGGCGAAGGAAATGCTCCTCCAGGAGAGGAAATCACAAAAAGTGGCATATGGTAAAAGAGTCACGTCTCTACCTACAACTCCTGAGATCACTCCAACCCAAGAAGTCTTGGTTTGGTAAAACTTACACCCTGCCTTTGGAAAAGTGACCCTTCAGATCACATTGTCTCCTGACAACAAAAGTGCTTCATCTACTGCAGGAAAGAATCACGTATTGGTCCTCACACACATGGGATGCAGCCAGGCACTAAGCCACTACTACACTCAATGCAACGAAAATTGGAGTATGAGGGTTGCCACTCGCGTATTTACTAAGCTGAAAGCACTCTCGCGTGCATTTGGCAGTGCGCTGCTCCCGGGCTGTAACTTTTCATGTGCAAAGTTCAGCCACAGAACAATGCGAATCAAACGATCCCAGATGTGCCTTAAGTACAGTATTGGGTTGCACACCTTCACCAGCGCGAGGCAGGGCAGACCTGCTTGCGTCTGCGCTTTCAGAGCACGACCGATATCAACTCGTTGTCCCCGGCGCGCAGGACAATGGAAAAATGTCAAGTTGAAAAAGCCCTGCAGATACTTGGCCCATTCAGGTGGAGTGCTAAAGCCTTGCCAAAAGGACTTGCGTGTGATTTATCAGCGTAACGCTCTGGCCAAAGCTAAAAACCAGACTTTGCTGCCCTGTTAATTTTGATACAGAAAACAGAGATAGTTTAAAACATCGCTGTCTAGCTTAGAAGAAAACAAAAATTGAAACTGTGATAATAGTTATGAGTGGACAGCGCTGTTTAAAGGAGGAACTGACATTTTCTGCTGGACAGCTAAAAAAAATCAAGCATCCGGCTTTTAGTTAAATGCGTCTAAAGCAAATCACACTGTATTTTCCCCTGGCTCGTCAGGCGGATGTAGCTGTTTTCCAGCATAGCGTTATTTTTACCAACTTAAAGTCTTTTTCTGCTCATGAAGAAGCAACCTCCCCTAACCTTCTTTACAGAAGGATTTTGGACATTTTGACTGGCAACTCTCTTACTGGAATGATCAGGGACCGTTCCTCACAGAGGTTTGATTTCAGCTAATAAACGAATAATAGGAAGAAATCTCAGCATGTTGTATTTTGTGTGTGTTAACAAACATCTGTTCCGCAGCAGACAAAGCAAACCTGCCCAAGCCCAGTGTAACCTCTCCGGCAGCCTCTGCCGGCGGTCAGTGCTCCGTGTGCAGCTTTGGGGCCAGCCACTCACCAGCTCCCTCGTCGCTCACTTGCTGCTGTTACAGAGCGGCCTTAGAGCTCTGACAGCCCTGCTAGGAGGAGGAGACACTTTGGCAGGGCCAGCTTTGCTGCTGACAAGTTTTCTTCTCTAGGGAGAAAAAAAAAAATGTCAGCTTTCCTTTTCACACGTGGCTTACAACCTTGGGATGCGGCTGGAGCACAGAAGCGCCAGCTTGCAGATGCGTGTGTACATCAACAGCACGCTCTGACAGGCCTTCCACCTCCGTCATGCTGCGGCAGTTTGGCCAGTAGGACCACGGAAAAAACTGTCACACATGGCAAAGTCCAAGACTCAGGAATTCACATTCACCCTAGAATTGTCGAATTTCTGTTTGACAGTTACTCCCTCACTCACTCACAGCGAGAGGACAGGACTTCGGCAGAATCACCCGCAGCAACTGCCCTTGTACCACAACCACGGCACTGTGAACTGCCAGGGTATTTTGGCTACTTTCCTTCATAATTCAGTTTTGCAAAAGAATTTATTTGTATATAAACGTGACAAAAGTAAAACCTGTAGGCAGGTAAAATCTGGTTGTGTTTTTGTTTTGTTTTGTTCCCCCCCACGCCCCCCCCCAAACAAAGCAATGGCTCTAAGAACTGTAAGTCTGAACAAAACACACCAGCTGTTTGGGACAAATAATAACAAATGCAAGTCTCATTTTTTAAAACATTGCGACTGTAATTTTAGACTGTAAGGGTAAAACCATCTCCTGTAATTGCACAGCAACACCTGCATCACACCGCCTCAGGCAGCTGCAGCAAGTGAATGGGCTTGGAGCTGTAAAACACTTGGCAATCTTTCCATGGGCAGCAAAGGGTGGCCAGTTCTGATCACCAAACAAAGCCACATTTCATTTAAGGAAGATGTTTCAAGATTTATCTCAAAGAGCTAAGTTGCCCCAACCTCCCAGCTAGAGCAATATGTTTCCATTTATGTATTATCAAACCACAAACATGTTGATACGCTGGGTCTACCTAAACGCCTGCAAAAAAGGTAATTAATTACGTGGCTGCTGCAGTCTAGGGGGAGCAATTTTTACTCACCAAGGTCTCATGCATTCCACAGCAGCCAGTTTCTAGAGGCTAGCACAGATTTTCTCCTGAGTTCAGCCTCCAAAATTGTAATACGAGGTTTGGCACGTTGTTTGCTAGGGAGCTGTTTACATGCACTCTTCAAAGTTGTGACTTCTGTATCCATCAAAAACCAGCACCAATTCTTCTGCTGCCCACACTTCTGCTAATTGGTATGAATTTTCAAAATAAATAAGTTTTTTCCCTCTTCTGCCAGTTGTAAGATGCAACTGAGGAGCAATAACTAGTTTTGCATGCTTAAAAGCTGCCAGCGGTATGAAGCAGGCTGAAGAAAGCATCATGCTTTGTTCTTTTGATAGTAACCTCTTCTGTGTAAGTCGTTACCCTGCTAGTGTAACCTGGGATTTTGAAACTGGGTCTCTCTGCTCCCAGGACACCTTGTTCTGTACATTTTCCCTCTCCAACAGAGGAAAGGTGAGAAACATAGCTCCCTGGCTGCTGGAGGAAGCACTCCTCTCTGCCTGAAAACATTACTCATACAACTGAGCAAAGACAGTATTCTACATTCAACTCCTTCATTAAGCAATAAATGTGCAGCCTGCTGTAGGTGACCCGGCTTCAGCAGGGGGGTTGGACTAGATGACCCACAGAGGTCCCTTCCAACCCTGAACATTCTGTGATATTCTTGTCTGCCTCTCTTGACCGAAACTGAACATTTTCTGGAGGATGCCTACTGGGAGCAAATTTTCCCACCAGGGACAAATCCAAAGCAGCAGAACAGATCAACTGGTAACAAATGCAACCAGGAGGCACCGTGAGCGAGTGGACCATTCAACACCAGAGGGCAAGCCTAGCTACAGAAGCAGGGTTGGCAGCTCTAGCACAGGTAGATCATGCAGATGCAGTGCATACTGCAGACAAGAAAGTGCGTCCCCTCTGTCCCCTCAATTCAAGGTCATTCCCTTCCTGGCAAGCCAGCTAGATTCCAGCTAATACAAGCAGCAAAGCCTTTAGAAAAATTGCAGTTTAATGCGTAGTGCTAAGGTGACAAAAGAAACAAACCATAAAGGCGGAGTGTTACAGAAAGAAATGTAAATTATTTTTTTCTTAAACATCTGAATGGAAAATGCCAGCAAATTCTTAAGGAAGGTATTGTTTGATTAAAAGACACATACTGATACTACTCTTTATATCTAGAAAAATCTGATTAACACAAGTGATTAGACAACTCCAATTTTAAAGGTGCAAAAAACCAGGCTAAAAGAACAATAAAACTATGCTGTGATCTCTAAACCCAGTATAATTGGGCAAGACAGATCTTCAAGTCGTTTTACTACAGATTTGAATCCAACTGAAGATCCTTTCCTGACCCACAGTCAGGTAAACAATTCACAGAATTAGCTGATAACTTCAACACTTTAAGAAAAGAGTCGATTTCTTCCCAAACTGACTCACCAGCACCTATGCCATCTAGTGGGCTGATTCTTCAGGTAAGTACAACGACAAGATATTAAAAGCCTTTGGTTAAGGCTGCTTCTTTAACATACAGTGTTCAGTATCCTGCAATTATTTTAAATGAAAAGTTAGAATATGCAATGCAAATCGCTACTGCTAACTGGGAGTATCACAGAAGAGAAATTCAACATCTTCTGCAGATAGTAGCCATCAACACAAATCACCCATATAAAAAAGGGACGTGACAAAAAAACCACATTTTCCCTTTCTTCAGAAATGCCTTGCATCACCTGCCATTACATCTGTAACCAGTGTGTAGAGCAAAGTAACTGTTTATATCAAAAAATGGATCCTTTGGAGTAACACAGATCTCCTCATTCTCAATTACTTCGGTCTGAAGACTAACAAAGCTTTGCATCTTCATGCAGACCTAGTTTTCCCGTGTGTTTCATTAGAAAAACACAACTACAACTTCAATTTGGATTCTTTTGCTTGCAAAGCCTTGGTTGCTAGCTCGACTCTTTCTTTTAATAAGCTAGCTTCTTCAGCACTTTTTTGGGCTTGTACATTTTTCAGTAAGAAGTGGGTAAGGAAGAGTTTCAAGCCTTCCCGTAGCATTCCCAGTTTTGGGTTGTCAGATACCCTGCAAAGATACAGATCAAAAACAGTATTTAGCCCTCTACTGCTTCAGAAGTTTCTTATTTTTTTTTATCTTCTTCAAATAGAGATGTAGAAAACAATCCAACCTATAAAAGGAGCTTTTCTGAAGAGGCTTTCAAATTACCAGCAGGTCTACATTGGTTTGGAAAACAGCCCAAACACTCTCAACATACAATTCATCCTCAGCAATAAAATGGAATATTGGAGCTTTAGACTTGCTTTATGTAAACAATTACACTACAGCAACGAACGAGGCAAACACCATGTTTGAGCTTCCTTGTGTTTCACCGTAACACTTCAAACATCATCACCTAATTTTTCTAAGTTTACGTGACATTGCAAGTTTAATACAACAAAATCATGGAATCACGAAATAATTTAAGTCAGAAAGGATGTCGACAGATCATCTTGTTTGACCTCCTGTTTAAAGCCGGGCTAACACCCAGGTGTGGTCAGGTTGCTCAGAGCCTTATCCACTCACGTCCTAAGTACTTCCAAGGATGCGTCCCATATACAAAAATAAGATTTTCCAGATGGCATTGGTTTAAAAAAAACAAAAAAAAAAATCCCCCAAACTTTTCCCTCCTTAGTATTTCTTTATTTTTCCTTCCTATACTAAAGATACCTTCTAGCAAAGACTGCTGGTAGAGTGAATCCCACTGCACATAGATGGTAAAGCAATACTGAAAGCAGGTAATTACAGAGCTCTGCTCATGAAAATCCTATGACCAAAACGATACATTGAATATCTGAAAGCCTTCTTTTGTATAACACTTCTCACAGCTGTATGTATATCAGAGCCTGTACTAACACACAAATAATATGCTTCCCCCCACTCACCCAGAAGAGTTTATTTTTTAAGGGACAGACAGCTGATCTTCGGAAAAGGCACTCTATAACTCCAAAGAAAATAAGCAAACTTATCTTCTTCATTACTACTCACCAAGGGTTCACTGGAGATCTCTCTGATCACTTACCTCACAAAAATGTCATTAAGCTCTTCAGCGTCTGTTTTAATTAACAGCATGCTTAATACTTGTCGCAAGAAACGGACTTTGGGTTTATCTAGTTCGCTGAACTCAATTACCTGGTAGAGAGGGAGGGAAAATTAGATTAATTGGAATGTTTCAAACAGCTGAATTCTCCTCCAAATGAATAACTTTTAGCACACCAACTGGCTTCCCATATATACCAAGTCTTAAGTTTGGCACAGAAGAATGAGCTGAGAACACTGCCTCCAAAAGCCAATCAATACGGAAAGCAGAGAACTTTCTAAGGAATAAACTGTCTACTACTACCAGAATACCGGATATAATTTCTCAATTAGATAAATACTTCAGAAATACCTAGCACAATCCATATTAATTGCCTATTTAACACACTCCAACTGTTCTACTAATAAAATTCTGCAGACTGCTCATTTGGAAATCCAAGTGCTCAGTAGATTTCTTTCTGGTCTAATAAAAATCAACATCAGCTAAAAAGATAGCACAAAATCCACCGACAAAGCCTGTTAACGAAGGGGGCCTCAGTTCCAACTCTGGATACTCCAAAGAAAATAATCTTCCAACTAACTGCTCTAGATATAGAACTGTAGACTTTCTGTGTACTTGGGTCACCACAGGTTTCCTTTTCCCCAAATGATGGCATTACCGTAATCAGTTAGATTCATTTGGTAATTTTGGAACAAGTTTTGTCTTAGCTTATGATCATGAACAGCTGAAGTACCAGCTAGGTAACAGAGAAAATGCATTTTCCATAGAACTAGCAAATACAAGGAATACTTCTGAGAAGAAAACACACCAACCTTGAGAACTGAAAGTGGCAAGGATTTTGTCCTTAGTAAGTGAGCCAACAGTGAAACCAGGTTGGAAATGGCAGTGGCTGACAGGTTTTCCAAGTCTCTGATTTTGTCCCAAATACTAAACTGAAATGTCACCTAGGTGTCGAAGGAAAAAAAATAATTCTACAGATCAAGTGAGTGTTTAAACAAGTTACATCATAACAAAACCTTTTTAACCTTCTAGTCTTTATGAGCGCCCTGTTAATTAACAGAGATGCCTGAACAGATTGTTCAGTTCTTTTAAAATGCGTAAAACAGAGGAAAGCAAACCTTCTGCAGTAGTTATTTTATTTCCTATTCAGATCTGACCATGAGTACACCTTACTGAATGCATAGCTACACCAGCGGAATTTTTCCTCAGGATCAAGGATCTTAACAGGCATCCACCCATTCTCAGGTATTTAATAACTGTCTTCCTAACCACAATAATGACACTAAACCAAAGTAGAAATGGATTTTTCTTCACCTGAAATCGTCTTTCATATTCACAAAACTTGTTAGCCAAAAATGCGTAGAAGGGGTTGTATGTCTTCTCCTGTAAGCAGCAGTAAAGCATAACATGAACAATTTCTCTCTCCTGCTGATCTTTCAGTCCAAGCCTAAAATTTAGCACGAGAAGGAGAATCGTTTGGTAAGGAAAAAAATTACTGCCACAAAGTAAGTGCTGTTATCAACATCCGAGAGTAATACTCAAGAAAACCACCAAACACCACATTAAATCTTACTTGTTAGGAAGGTCGTACAAAGTCTTTAAAACCCTGAACGGACTCCAACCCTGCAGACTGTGGGCTAATCAGTATTCTGGTACAGCAATATGGAAATGCTACCGTATTATCAGTGTTAAAGGAGTGGCTGTAAAAGCAAGACCTCAGAAGACAGAAGTGGAATGATACAAGTATGATCACCCCCTGGCGAAGGAAGTAGCCCACTCCATGTCTGTAGCTCTCCAGGAAGAATAACAGAGGAGAGGGCACTATCATCGTGGAGCCTTGTGCCTCTGAACGTAGCCATGGTACTGCAGCAACCCTGCTGCATGGTGTACCAATACGATGGTTAAATAATGAACCAAGAACTGTAGGACCCTGTTGCGGTTATCTCATACTTGTACCTATGGTCACAGGAGTTAAAAACAGCCTTTGGATCAGTATAAGCCTATTCAGAGAAACACATCCAGGGCCCGTCACTTCTGTGGTACTTACTAGGGATATTTTAATATTAAAAAATATTTTCAGATGTTTTTCCTACTTGGCGATATGAATCTTTTCACCCCTAGGTCAACTCCATGCTACCTAATACCTGGAATTCATTTCTGTTTTTGACAGTAGCCTCAGATGACGACAGTATTGATGAGTGCTTGTGTTGGCTGCCGCAGCACAAAGGCCAAGGACTGAACAGCCTTCCCACTTGCACAGCTGTCCAGTCTGAAAGAGGGCTGAGACACTTTGGCAGGGAATGGTAACTAACTCGCAATGCACCTGTTCTGTGAATAATTTGATTTAGCTTCCAGGGCTGTCAAATGCTTGGCTGCATTAAAACCAATTAAAATGAAAAATGCTTCATATTATAATCTGAAAAATGTCAAACAAAATTATTTTCCTTGCTTCAAGCTCAAGTTTCTTCTGGCATTAGCATAACTCAAGTGTATTTTCCAACTAAGTTTGACTCCACTGGAACTTGCTCTAGAGTCTGCAGAGTACAGCTTGTCATTGCTTGAGTCTAATATCCCGCATTTGTATACACCTCCAGTCATCTGCGCTTGCACTTGATCACAGACTCATACCAGACTAACAGAGAAAATACTGTCTTTCAGCCAAAACCTCCCAGAATTTAAGGCTTTACATTAGGAAAATCTGGGGTGATTTCTAGGCTGATTGCTAATGAGCAGTGAAAACTTAGAAGTCTGCTTCTCCAAAAGAGACCAGCACTGTAGGTGCTGTGCCTGTGATATAACTTGCTTGCTCTCCCATCAGCCAAGTTCTATCTGATTATGTTACAGAGCAACAAAAGCTTGGGTTTTTTTGCCCCCCTTTTTTTTTTAAAATACACAAGTTTTTAGCCACCAGACATGGATTTAATAGATGAATTGTGAAGTTACATTGCAAGCACGAATTCGGCACGTTCTCTGTTTCCTTGTTTGTTATCACTTCTATCACAACTTGCTTATTTAGGAAATACTCATGTTGCCAGATGGTTGTAACCAAGTAAATCAGCACTTTGAAGTCAAATTTTGTTCTTACCTTCACTTCTTCACAGACCTAGCAGTATTTTCTCTTTTCAGACCTGGCATTCCTAAACATCTAAATTTTAGAGTCAGGATTGTCTGGCACTGCTGAGCTTCACCACAAACCTGTACAGATTTCACAAGCCTGATAATCTTAGATAAAAAATACACAACTACCTCACCTATTAAATCACTCATGAGTTACAACATTTCATGGACTTGTATGTCTTGATGACTAAGAATTTCTCCCTGTATACAGGATAACTGCCTCTAAAATAGACTATTTATCACCAGTAGAAGCCTGCCTTTAAGTAGGTTAGTTATTAGCAACTGAAGCCCAAGACTACCACTGCCTTTAGATCAAAAATAGCAACATTCAAACCCATGTTTTAAAACACAGTTCAAGTGATCTTAGTAGATACTCACATACTCTCTACCCTGAATGATGGGTCACATTACAAGAGAGTATCTAAGATTTTACAAGTTTTGATTTTTTGTGAGATGTAAAGATTCTCAAAATCTTAATCTCTGTGAAATAGCTTTAAAAAAATCGCCTCTTCATCGGACTTAATCAGCACTCATCCCCCCCCATGTATGAATCTGTGGTTTGTGAATGAGGTGTGGCCCTTCAGCTGACAAAATAAATCAAGTCTCACTCTCTTCTCCTTGTCTCCAGTGATGTCCCCAGCCCTCCCTTCACATTGACACTTCTGCAATCACAAGCTGAGCCACTTCAGGGAGCTGTTCTGGCTTCAAACTCATTAATTTCTTTTGATGTAAGGAGGAGAAAGACAAGCAGAACTATAGGAGCACATAATGGTTTAAATTACCGTTTAACCACACCTCAACTCTGCCAGAGATCTAGCAGCAGATGAATCAACAAGCACAGTTAAAATAATTATTTATGTTTTTCTCAGGCTCTTCCTCATGAGACCAACATCAAACATATGAATAGAAATTCCCATACACTCTGGAACGCATTTTCACATTAAAGTTAATTCTTTCAGTCAAAATTCTGTGTACTTTCCATTATACTCTGCCAGATGTGGGCAGATTTGAGAACTCCTCTGAGTTTCCTGTATGAAAACCAGTATCAACACACACCAGGCAATCTGCAGAGAGAGTTTTTCTGCCAAGCCTCTGTGTATACAGATTTGTATACTAGTTTAAATAGTACAGATCAGAGTCAAGGATCAATTTGCAAATTGAACTACCAGGTCTTGGCAAGAACTGCAGCAGCAGCAGCTAATTTCTTTTAATTGAACAGGCCATATTAAGATATTGGAATGACTCCATCGCAGTCCTAAATCCAAGCTGTGTTTTGCAGAAGTGGCATTTAATCAAATATTAGTTGACTTTATTACAAAGTGTGTTTTGGTTTGGTTAGCAAATTGAATAATTGCATGCCATCTTGGTAAGACAATTCCCTTGAACTACAAGGCTGCAACAGAAAAGTTCAGACCTGATCTCTCCCCTCCCAGTTACTATAGACTTACAATTAATATTCTGACAAACACAAAGAATAGCTTAGTTTCAGCTTTTGCCTGATCACATCTTCTTCTAAAGAGCTGTTTGCCAGGTGGTAAGGAAACTGGTCTTAACATGAAATGTGACCCTGGAACAAATCCAAAGCTAATAAATTCTGCAAGAGGGAAGTGGAGGTGCTAGAACACTACCAGGTCACGCAAGTATGGACAGAGAGTTACAAGATGGCTTAACAAGGTGGCAAGAAGTAAAATAAGTGACAATAGTACAGAAATCCAGTGACAAAACCAAGACATGTTCTGAAGGGGCTTCTAGTCTGCCTCTGTAAGGAAGCAAGCCTGCAACAGACTTCTGTCTGCTAGACCAGGATGCACATCTTCAATCCAGAAAGATACAGGCTGCGGAAGTCAAAAGATTCTGTAAATCAGTTATAGACATGAGTGACAACAACAGGGGCTACTGCTTTCCTCTCACTGCCACTCAGTTCTGCCTGCCCCATACTTGTCCTTACACCAGGGTTTCGGTCCTTCTCCTACCCTTTTACCCTATGTGGATCCCTAGCTATGCGCTTCTTTAATTGTATTATCAATCAAATGCTCTTAAGCCCAGACCAGCAATGTTATTTTTCCAATGCAGCTAATGCTATTTTTAGTTCTAGGCTGCCTTCTCTGCTAGTCTGTACTTACTTGAGAAGCTTTTCATAAGCATCCAGGAAGTCTTCACTTGTCATCAAGACACAAAAAATACTTCTCCTGATGTCGGTGTTCATTCTCTGCTTACGAGCAAGCTCCATTATCTTTGAACTCATCTGAAAAAAAAGTTAAATGCTATTTTATTTATGTTTGCTTTAAGAAAGCTATTTCTGTGAAGCCTCTAATTCAAAAGCATTAATGAAGATCTCCAGTAAACTATGAAGCATCAATCCAGAGGTCCTGAGCTTTTGTCCAGAGGCACAGGAATCATCAGGAGCTTTTTCAACTAGGGAAATACACTTTAACGTCTTTTAATTGTTTCTAAGACAATTATTTCTAAGACGTGCTCCTCTAATACAAGTCACCATGACCTTCTCACCACATTACTTTCAGAATCAGCTTAGATACAAGCCACCCACAGGCAGACAACACTACCTGTCAGAATTCATACCAGCAAATCCACTTTTAATCAAGTCTCTTCTTCCATTAATATAACAGTTACTTTTGCAATTCCACAGGGTAGGAAAAACCAAGCTACTCCATAATATTTGTAGTAACAGCTCTTATGAAACACATGATTTGAAAAATATAAGAGCAGAATTTACAGTTCAAAAGCTTAGTCTTAGAAGAGTCTGTGAAGGTTTTTTCGGTGGGCTCTGAAAGGAACTTATTCACCCGTATGAAGAATATTCAAAAGATCACATACACTTAGACTTGTAACTACCACTGCTTGGATTTACCTTTCCTATATGCAGTTTTTGCTGGGTCTTGCTGTTTGTGTCATTGATCATCGGTGCTCCACTCCAGGATGACCCTACGATCCACCAGCGACCAACCTGATCAGCACTGAGGAGAGATTCCAGGGAGACACGCAGCTGAGTTTCTTTTCCAGAACCACTACTGTGAACCTTGAGTAACAAAATGAAAAAAAAACTGAAAAGCTTGTACTTGACGCTTTCTTTAAAAAAAACCTCAAACACAAAACACCCCCCCCCAACTTTTAATTACTTAAACTTACTTTAAAACAAATAACTTCATCTCCATAAAGGTCTTCACATATTTCCCCCCACCCCCAACCTTTAGTTTCAGTCAGCAAATGGAAACGAATTCACAAGTTTCTTGTATCTTCTAATTTCTCAAATACAAGTAGTAGCTTAAATCTACATTTAGAAGCTCTTGATTGGTTTTTCTTTTTTTAAAAAGAGACAATCAATTAAAAAGTAGCCACCTTGCAATCATAATACTTGATTAGAATTTAGACTTGATGCTTACATTGAAAATCAGTTGCAGCATCTTACCATCCAGTCGTGAATTTCCCCTTGAACACTTGTGATCACATAAAATGACATGAGAAGCCGCCTTAAGTTTTGTACAGTTCAAACAATAAAAAAATTTCAACTCTTCAAATAAAATCAGAATTTTCAACAAAAGAGGCTAGAAGTGTACTAAGAGGACTGCAAAAATTTAAGAGAGGAAATTTTACCTAGCTTATTTTTGTCTGTCCTACTATCACTGATGTGCACATCCTGCACTTACAATTTCTGAAAAGAGAGATGTTCTAAATGTTGTAGACAAGTAGTGTAATTTTCAGGTTGGAGATACAGGGACTCTAAAACCAGATTCAAGTCTTGTGAACACGAATCAGTCCTCAATCCAAAGAGATAATTACTTCCCTGCATTTTGTATTGGGTTGTTCTAGACAAACTGCCCTCTCTTTGCCAAAAAAAATAAAAAAGAAAGAAAGAAAGAAAGAAAAAACATCGAGGTTTTCAGAAGTGTTAGACCTCCAAAATAATTCTGGTGAAGATAGGAGTGGGTGCCTGCATCCAAAAATCTACGGAAAAAAGAACTTGTCATAATGACTCATTTCTTCTGGACAATCATTAAACATCCCACGATCTCTTTTTCAAGTATAGGACTTCAAGGCGAAGTCTTTGGCTAAGTCTTATGTCCTTTCTCAAACTGTTCTGCAGAAGGCTGGTTGACTGCTGACTTAACTTGGACACAGAAGATAATGATCTAAGAAGTGATTTTTGTCCACAGGAGTTTCAGACTGTTAAATGAATTAAAAAATACTGTAGCCCGTCACGCCAACATACAATACAAATAATTACTTCAGGTTTAAGACTAGCTATACCACACATGTCAAGAAAGTTCTCACCAATGTTCTCTGCAATTTGCGGAGTTTTTCAACTGGTTCAGGATCATAACCAGGAATCTTGCGCATGTCATTATTCCTTAGTGCCAACATAGTCTCTAGCATAAAACGAACCTATTAGGCAAAGAAATATTTCTGTGGATTATGTGCTGTAAATTTATTTAATAAAGTAGTGTACTTTGAAATTACTATTCTGTGAGAATAAGCAGCTCAGCTGGCAATATACATAAAAATTTAGAATTTACATGGACACAAACACAGAGATGTTTACTTTAACTCCTATTATATCCATTTGTGTTTAAGCTTCAATTCAAAGCTTAATCTGCCAAACACCATGCCTCAGTGACCATTTTTTGAAGCGTACAAAGTATCACGAGACAGAAGCACAGCCCATTGCATAAGACACAAAACAGTCCTAGTCTTACCCATTAGCAGCACTTTGGTGTCTGTGTCCTAAGAACTAATGGGGAAAGACTGACAGGAAGAATGCAACTAACTGAATACTAATGGTAACTTAGAATCTAAATAGAGTGTAGCAGAACACATTTTGGTAAATTAACACATGTATCCAAGTGCTTATTAAAATCTATTCAGAACAGAAAATCCTTAAAACACACACACATACCCTAGTCTGATCCTGGAATTTCTTCTCCGCTGTGTTTGCTTTCCTCTGGGCTTCAGTGATCAGTTCCTTCAAAGCCAACGCATCATCTTTTCTTAAGGAAAAGCCCACGTTTTTCAGAAGAAATAAAATCAGCTCAATCTCTTTTTCAGTGAAAGTGCTAACAAGCTTTTTCAGAATATCAAAGATCAGCAGGGAATGAACCACATGGAAGTTATACAGATGAGCAATCAAGGCAAGCAGATTTTCACATTCTTTCCCTTCAGCATCACTTTTACAGAGTTCAGCAAATTTCTTCACCACGGCTTCCAAAAAGTGAGCTCCGACCTGGCAATAGTTCCATTAAGGGGTGGGGGGTGGATGGGTGGGGGAATAAATAAAAAAAATCCAGCAGTTAACCATAAGTAGATTTTATAGACATCTGTAAAACGTTCATTTTTGGGGCACTGCCACTATTAATTTTAAAGAAATATTGTTGCTCCTCTCAACCAATATGGATGTTCTACATTTACATACACAAATATGTAAGTGGTGTGACATTTTCTTAAGGTATGTGTTATTTACACCTCATATATGCCATCCGTTTGCCTTTTAAAGTCTGTGCAAGAAAAGCAAATGTTACGAACTTGCAGTACACATACGTCAGAATTTGATTACATAATTTTCAGGGACACATATCAGTGTATTCCCAGCTGTCAGGCTAGTGTGCTGTTACTGCTAGTCATTCATCCAGTAAAAGCTGCATGTCAAAGACCAAATGCATCACAGAGTTCAGCATTCCAGAACAAAATCCTTAACAGGAGGGTAAAAAATAATAATGTAAAACAACCTCCAACATACCAAGTTTTCACAGTTGCTGAGCATAAGCCTAGGCTGAATTTAAAGTGGGGCTAAGTCTTAGCCATTTGTCAGTGGTACAGTTGGGGAAAGAAATTTTTGAATCTCTATATTTGCGAAGAGAGAAGTGATGCTAAAGACTGGAATTAGAAAGCATACCAAAATATAGGTAGGTAACGAACACATTACTGCTAAACAAGACCCTCCCCCCATTATTATGGTGCTAATATTTGCTGATTGTTCTTACGAAAACCAGAAGCCTCAGCAGCAGTACTGAGGTGAATTCGAAGCCTTGACCAGCTTAGGATGTAACTATCCAATGATCATACTGCACAAATGTACGAGCACAGCTACTGGAATCCTGACTTCTGCATTGCTCAAACTGATCTTAAATGCAGCTATGCTATCACACTTCTGTGTAATGCATATTCTACCTTTACTTCACAGAAAAAATAATGGGGCTTTATAACATATTTAAATTCTACAGTCTTAGATTCAAAGATGCCATGTAACAGAGTCAGTAGCACAGAATACAGTCTGGATATCATCTCTCTATTTCTAGTACCTATTATTATATCTATATCTAAAACCCATTGCTAGGCATTTTGCAGAGTTGCAACTTCTAAATAGAGTGTGCTACTCTTGTTAAAACAGCATCGTAATACTATGTTCTACTTGCAGTCAGGACTGCCTTTCAAGCAGCAAAAAGGAACAACAAAAAAAAAAAAACTAATAACAAGGCTGCATGGAGAAAGCTGCTGCCATTGCATCCATCTGGTAGTTAATATAGTTTCAGAGACAGCATTCAGGTCACTAGATGACAAACTGAAGAACTTGCATCAATATATGTTTTGCACTGAGATGCAGAAAGAAAAAGTAACTCGATGGGAACATGGTGCTGAAACATCTCCATTTCCTAAGAGACGTTTCACTGAAATTAGCTGAAATCTTCCCTTTGACAACAGTAGTTTCAGCTTCTTCCTAGGAGTAAGCAAGCGATATTTTACCTCAATCATTCATCAGGCTTAAAAAAAAAAAGAAAAACTTCCAAAAAAATTGCCGTGCTTTTTGAAGTTTTTGATACTCAGGAGTCATTGATATATCTAGTTAATTCCACTGATGATTTGTATGATTTGGCTTAAAAAGGGGCTTTTTCCACAGATGTAAAAGGATTTATGTAACTGTAGCACTTTCCTCATCTGGATACACATTGTTCAAGAACAATACCCTCATATACCCAACCGAGCAGAAATAGATCAGTGTAATTTGAGAAAACTTGAAGCTTAAAAAAATCAGTTTTATGGAGGCAGGAAGATTTTGACGAAAAAAAGAAAAAAGATGTTTTTGTAACTGACCAGTGGTAACTCATGGAGGAAAAAAAAAAATTGGATAAAGAAAGAGACTTGGTCCCTTTCACTTGTGGACACTGATAGAGAGGATTGTAAGAAATGTGAAACTACAACAAAAAGGCCTTAATATTCTCTAGTTTTTAGTAGTCTTTAGTACTGTAACTTGTATTTCTGCATGCATAGTGATCTAACAATATAACTGTTACACTAATCCCTGTTTTCTCATTAAGGAATGTAGTGGAAGGACATGGGCACAAGCTATCACTTAGTCGTTAGACAAAATAATTAAGTGAAACAAAAGTGGTCTTGATTTTCAGCAAATAATTGGGATAATTGTGGGATAAAAGAGACTCCTAAATAACTCTACTCCAGACAGCTCAGCCTTGGGAGGGCAAATGCGCTAAGCTACAGAGATAAGGAGGCACCAAGAGAGCAACAAGACTGGAGCAAAACAACCTGAAGGACATGATATACGTAATGCTAGAACTGAGTTTGCGCAGAAACAAATGTCAATCAGTGAACAGCGTGATGAAGAGGATGGGCCTTCATCTTGGGACCCCCGAAGACCACCCAAAGATACTAACAGACATGCGTGAAAGATATTTACATATGCTAATTAGTTCCTAGAAATATAATGAATAATTACCTGTGTGATTGTATTTAACCTGAAGCAACAGGGTGTCTGGCGCGCACGTTTGGAGGAGAAATCCCCCGTGTGCCCGGCGCCGCAATAAAGAATACCTGCTTAACAGTATACATTGTACTGTTAGGTTTTTCTTACCGGATCTTCGAATCAACACCTAGCAACTAAGCTACAAATACTGACGAAATTCAACTATAGGTGCTTTCTAGTGACACACAATCAAAAATTAAAATACAATTCAATCGCAATATCAAGGAAAACACATACAACATCCATTATTAAACAAAATTAGTCCCAACCACAAGAATTACCTCAATTCCTACATTATGATGAAGAATGCTGACCAAAAGGACATGCTCCATTATCAGCCTTGCAGGCATGGCGACTGCAGTCACACAAGCATTCATGAGAACATCTGTCAGAGTTTCATTCATGTCCTTTCTGCTGTTGGCCATGTAGAGCTCTTCCATCTGCCCACTAACGGAGGACAAATTCGGTTCACTCAACCTGTTGAGAAACAAAATCCAACGTTCACTTCTTCTTCTCTTTACATGGTTGCACACTTTTGAATTTACCCAACAAACAACTTGTTCTTTTTAGAGAAACTAGCTTGGCTTAAGAACAAAGATTGAAAAGATGACTGGAAGGACCTTTTGTATTTTGCTGTGTTCACAAAACTAAAAAAATACGACATATGTTTAATTCTGTTGCTTGGGTTCTTTTTAAATAATTACATGTAAAAACAGATTAGTAGCAGTATTTACAAAGCACTGCCAATGTGCTTACCGTTACACTGAACAGGTTTGTTAAGAAAAGAACTTTTGTTCTTAGCAGTTGTAACTAAGGCACATCACAGTCTTCGGAGAAATTAAGTATGAAAATGCCTCATACTTTTCTAACACATAAGGTATATAAAATTCTAAATGACTGTACGAACTGCATACCATAATCTGCATTTTACAGATAACATAGATAAAAGAAAACGCCAATAGATCTATTTGAAACATACTCTAAAATTAAAACACATGAAAATGCTAATTACTTTTTCTGATCTTCAGTACTTTAAGCCATAAAGTGTTGCTCCTCCTCAGTTGTAGTGTTGGAGAAATTTAATTTTATTTAATTAAAAAAAGAAAACAATGTTTTTTGTGAAGGGTTATAACTTGCACTATGAGTTTTTTTCATAGGCACACTCCAGCTGTCACAGTGAATTACACCTAGCACTTGCACGCAACTGCTGTGTGGACTGCAGCCCAATCTTAAATTTATTTTCTAGATTATTCAACTTCTATAATGACCAACTTTGAAGAATTTATATCAACAAAGATCATTATTATTAAGGATAGCAGACATGATTGCCAACTTAAAATCAGTTTGTGAAGAGAAAAGTCACATCCTTGCCACTTTTCTTTGAATGATGAGCACTGTCACATCAAACCAGAAAGATTAACGACTTTCCTTATTATATTACCTATTAATGAGACCATTCACCATTTTCTTCAGTCTTCCCAATTCTTCTCTTTTCTTTTCATCTAGCGTCTCCTGAGCTTTCCTTACTTGAGGGGGAACATACTTTGTAGCACTGTGATTATGACTCTTACCGGGAAAACAAGACACCAAATGAGACTAGTACTTTAAACATTTGAACACAAATATGTATTTCTACTTAAGATTAATATATCAAACTTTTAGTTAAGTGTAGATCTTACCATCTAAATACTCATGCCAAAGGAGCAACTTCATACGGAAAAGCAATATGCAATAAGTTACCACTTACGACCAACTTGACAGCACCAAAATCCCTCTTCCCCTTACATGAAATTTTCTTGAAGTTATTGTTATTAAAACCTGACATCCCAAGTCTTGGTTTTATCCATGTTTTATCAGCTGCAGACATACTGACAGTTTAAGCCAGTGCTATGCGGGCTAAATGACCCGTCTGGCTTCCTCTCCTCCACCCATGCTACGAGACCTAACACTGGCAGAACCCCTCGGATCATCCAGAAGTAACACTTCAGTTTGCAGCAACAGATATTAATGTTAACATAAGTTCTCTTTAGAATGGTAGAATCATTAAGTTTGGAAGAGACCTCTAAGATCATCAAGTCCAACCGTCACCCAAACACCACTATGCCTGCTAAACCATGCCCCGAAGTGCCACATCTACATGTTTTTTGAACCCCTCCAGGCATGGGGACTCCACCACCTCCCTGGGCACCCTGTTCGAAGGTCAGTGGCACTGACCACTCCTTCAGTAAAGAAATTTTTCCTAATATCCAATCTAAAACTCCCCAACGCAACTTAAGGCCATTTCCTCTCACCCTATCGCTAGTTACTTGGGAGAAGAGACCAAGCAACTTTTTCTCTTGGCACAAGTGCTTAACCATGTTCTTAAACTCTAAAGCCGGTGTAACACCACTGTTCTGTTCCTTTTATTTGCTGATCTCGGATATACAGACAAGGCCATAGGCCTTGTGCTTTAGGGCGCTGGGGGGACTCTGCCCTCCAGGCCTAACAGTTGTCCCCAGGCCTTGGCAGGCCTCTGCAGCCAACACTGCTGCTGGGCCGGGCGCCATTTTGACACGGGACACCACTCTGCGTGGCCTGACCGGACAGCATGCTGCCGTGCTTCACAGAGGGGATGTAAACTCCGCTTTATGTTCAGGTCGCAGCATGCGCTTTGCGAAGCAGACTTGCGTTACATGAGGTGAACACCCTACCTCGTCCTCCTCCTCGTCCTCCTCCTCGCCCAGGGGCTCGCTGGCCTCAGGCACCCCGCCGTCCTCTGCGGACGAGGCCGAGCTCTCGCTCTCCCACTGCCCCTCCACATCGTCCTCCTCGGAGGGGTCTGGGGCGTCCTCCGGCTCCTCCGCGGCCTCC